ATATTCCTGGTGTACGAAAACAAGGCAGAAACTTGGAATTGGCTGGGTCCGAAGAACGAGGCGCAACGGCGCATTCACATTTTTCGTATTCTGAAGTCTGAGCAGAGAAAGACGATTGGGTAGGTTGCATGGGTAGATGGGACCGTATTCCCGGTATACGAAAACAAGGCGGGGACCTGGAATTATCTGAGTCCAAAGAACGAGGCGCAATGGTGGACTTGATTTTTCATATTTTGATTTCGTATTCAGGGTCTGATTTCTGAGCAGAGAGAACGAGGGGTTTAGTTTTCCAGAAATAGGATCAACTTAATTACGGGTAGGCAGGAATGTGTCCTCTTGTGAAGATTGAAGGAGGGAAATTTCAGTATCAGTTGAGATGGGTCGCAGCGGCTTCGGAGGGATTCACATTTTCATATTCCAAGCAGGCAGAAGGAGAAACCCGTTTTCCAGAAACAGGATCGATCGCAGACGAAAAAGTAGCACGAAGAAATGAAGGCGGAGTTTACGAAACTATTACGAGAGTATCGGATGCCGGGGAGAAGAAGAGGGGAAGGGTTGCAGAGTCGGATAGGAGGAGGACGATGGATGACAACTGTTGGAAGGAAGGCAGAGTCAGTGGCAGGTCGTTGAAGCATAGGAGAAGAATGCGCGGGCCATACTATTAAATGCGTAGAGACACGGGAGTTGAGCACTTCGGGTAGATCGATCACTCGTGGATATTGATCAGGAGATTTGACGAAGGTAAGGGGGAACAGTGCGATGGTTGGAGAAAACAAAGCGGAGGGACGTTGGAACGAGAAGATGGATGAGAGTACGATGAGGCAGGGGAGAGGAAGCGGAAGGGGTTTAGGAGTGAGAAGGAGCAGGAAAAAGAGGAAAAAGAGGGAAGTACCGAGTAGATCTGGAGGGTAGGAATTAGGACCAGGGAGCGATTGGGTGGAGGAGCAAGGTAGACATAGGCCGGAGAAGACTTTGATAGAGGAGTAGTGAGAAGAGAACTCGGGGTCAAGGGAGGAAAAGAGACTGATCAGTGATGCGCACGAAACGTATAAAGGGAAGGTGGCTCGATGATATGAGCATCCTGGTGCATTTTGAGATTTTTGGGTTATTGCCTCCTAATGATCCGCTGTGTACGCGAGCGGTGAAACGCGTAGGAGCGTTGTGTACTGTTACAAGTTCTGGAGTATTAACGATGTTATGAATCGGGAATTTGGTTATGTTGATGGTCGAGAAGTTGCTCTATGTGCCTGATCTGTGTGCTCTCTTCACCGCCTCTCTCTCTCTCTTTGTCTCTCTCTCTCTCTCTCTCTCTCTCTCTCTCTCTCTCTCTCTCTCTCTCTCACACACACACACACACACACACAATCAATCAATCAAT